GTGGAGGGCTGCAGCATGGGCTTCACCAAGTTCTGTGCTGTGCTGCTGAACCACTCGGATCCGGAGCTGCAGGCCATCCCACGGGCTGTGCTGGAGCAGGTACAGTACTCACTGTGCCTCTTGTTTCCCGTGTGCCCCAGGGAGCTCCAGAGGCATTTCTGCACTCCCTGGGGCAAGCACCCTCCTGGCAGCTGAGATGCTGGTGCAAGCTGGTGCCCTCCTGGCAGAGCAGCTGCAGGTTCCAGGTGACAGGTTTCCAGCCACATCTCAGGTGGATTTTGTTCCTCTGTCAGGGCTTGGAAGCACTGAGTGGGCCCCGGAGCAGCTCGATCACGCGCCGTGCTGCCGGCTTCCCCATGCTCTTCCTCTGCATCGTCAGCGGGGAGGCCCCGGCGCTGGCACGGCCGCTCCTGACCCGCTGCATCCAGACACTGCTGACCTTGGCTGCCACGGCACTGCCACAGGACTGGGACCAGACCCTCGACCTCCCGCAGGTCAGTGTGGTGCTCCTGGCTGCTGGAGCCCCTTTGGGGACACGGTGATCTGTGCTGGGTCCCCTGAGCTCTGCCAGGTACCCAGTGTGATACCATGAGAACTCTGAGTGAGCAAAAACCCACAGCTGTGGTCGTGCTGTCCAGCCTGGCAGGCTGGGAGCTGATGGCCTTTTGGCTCCCCTGTCTTTTCCCACCCCCTTCCCCTGACATGGTAGCATGAGCCCCCTTGTGACATGGTGCCACTGAGCCCCGTGTGCTCTCCCCAGGTGTGTGCCCTCCACGTGCTGCAGACGCTGGTCCGTGGGGCGGGGCTGGGCGGAGCAGTGCTGTGCCACGCCACACCCATGATGGCCCTGGCACTGCGGGGCCTGGGCTCGCCCTGCTGGGCCATGAGGAACGCGGCCATCCAGCTCTTCAGTGAGTACTGAGAGAGAGAGATCCCACAGCCCCCAGGGTTCGGAGCCTGTGTGGGGTGAAGTGCAGGGGGTTGGCAGGGTTGATGGGACCTGACACTGCCTTCTCTGTCCCTGCAGGTGCCCTCACATCCCGGCTGCTGGGACAGCCGTGGAGCCACAGGGACGGCTGCCCATCGGAGGGGCTGAGCCTGCACGCCTTCCTGGGGCAGCACCCAAAGCTGGGTGCTGTGCTGCTCGGAGAGCTCAAGGTGGCCACAGCACCCACATCAGGGGGGCCCCGCCTGCACCCTGCACTCCACGCCATCCTCACCCTCTTGGCCCAGCTGCAGCCTGGCGCTGACAGTCCTGGCAGGTATGGAGGCAGTGGGGATGCTGTGCCTCAGCCAAGGGCTCCTGCAGTGGGAAGGGCTCCCGTGGTGCTGAGACTGGCCCTGGTTCTTGTGAGACTTTACTCCTGCCAGAGCATCACCACATGGTGCCCTTTTTGCTCCACAGTCCCTCTGCTCCCTTCCTGGGGCCACTGCTGGGGCTGGCAGAGAGCCCCATCTACGCCGTACGAGCGATGGCTGCCAAGGCTCTGGTGCCTGTTGTCGCCCCTCCCCAGCGCTGCAGGCTCCTCCTGCAGCTGGCCCAGCAGCTCCCTGCAGCACCCGGGCAGATCCGCTCACACAACGCTGTCCACGGGCACCTGCTGCAGATGCAGGCACTGCTGGGCTCCGCCACGGGCACCGCGGGGTGAGTGTGCCACGCTGTCTCCCCAGCTGGGGTCACTCTGTGCCAAACGCAGCCTTTTGGCCACAGAAGGGCGCCTGCCTCGGTGCTTGCCCCGTGGTAAGGCTGTGTCTCCATGCAGGCTGTCAGCTGAGGCACTGCACCCCGTGGCTCTGCAGCTGGAGGCGCGGGGCTGGCTGCTCACCCCTGCCCAGCGCTGCCCCCTCGTCCGTGCCGCCTTCCTCCAGGTCCTCAGCCTCCTGCCCACATCCTTCAGCCCTGGCTTCGCCCTGTACATCCATGACACCATCAGCACCGAGCTGGGCAGCCTCCTGCAGGGGGGAAAGTCAGGCTGTGCCGAGCCACAGGTACTGCTTCCTGCCAGGAAAGTCATGGGCATGCCTGACAGGCAGTGAGCCTGGGCAGGGACAGAGGGGGAGCCATTGCTCCAGGCTGAGCACTGGAAGGGGAATCCTGTTTTTTTCCTGCAGGTGGGCTCAGCCATCCTCCACCAAACCATGGCCCGCTTCATGTGCAGCGAGGCAGCCCGGCTGGCAGACAGTGAGCGGATTGCTGCTGTCTGCTCACTTCTCCAGCAGCCCAACCCCGACATCCAGCTTGCCATCCTGAGCTGGATGATTGCTGGGGAGGGAGGAACGTGCAAGGAAGTGGAGAACACTCTTGGGCTGACATTGCTGGTATGATGGGGCTCAAAAGTCACCAAGTAAAGCAGGGAGGCCCCAGTGCACCACACAGATGGGACCCCTGAGATCCCATTGCTGAGAAGCTTGATGCTCCCCAGGCTGAGGGTGCAGGGCACTTGCCTGGTCCTGCAGTGCTAGGACCACTAACTATGTACCTTTTTTCCCATTGTCAACTAGGAGAGCTTGCAGTCGGTGCTGCAAGAGAGAAGGGACAAAGAGTTCCTGAGATTGTACCTTGAGGCTTTGCTGCATCTTTACAGAGATCCCTCGTCATGGTCCCAGGAAGCTTCCAGTAAGCTCCAGGGCTCCTCAAGATCATGCCTGGAGATGGTGCTGCACATGGTGGAGGCTGAGTGTCCTGGGCCTGATCTCCTCTTCCAGGCACTGTGTGCTGCCAGCCTGCTGCTTGCCCACCAGTAGGTCCTTGCTGCTGCTGGGTTGCTGCCCAACTCTTCCAGCAGATTCTTCCTTAGTCCTTACTAGAAACAGCCACGACTTCTCTCCCATAAATCACAGCATTGCACCTGGCTCCTGCAATCTCAGGGCAGCCAGTAGCCTTTGGTCCCCTAATGGAGCAGCAAGGTGTGCTTGAATTCTCTCTCCTTCCGTGGCCTTGGCAGGTGTGGGGACGAGGACGTTGCGCTGGTGGAGCGCTGGTGTGCGGCGCTGGAGGAGTGCAGCCGGTCCGCCTGCTCCGAGCTGCTGCGGCTGGCGGCCGCCCGCTCCCTGCGGCTGGCAGGGGCTGACGTGCTGCGGCCATCCCTGCGTGCTGCCCGGCCCCCCCTCGTCCCCGTGGCTCTGCGGTAGGTCGCTCAGCCCATCTCCGGGGATGGCTGTGCTTGCAGCACTGCTCCCTGCAGCCCCAGCCTGCTGCAGGTTAATGGACTCTGTAAAAGGCGTCCCCTGCAAAAACTCAAGGGTGTTGAAGAAAACCCCACTCGTTCAAAAATCAGTGGCACTCGAGCTCACACCCTACAAAAAACGTGCGGGTGGCATTTTAATACAAGCAGCCAGTCCCTTATGAGCAGCAGATGGCATTGCTGAGTCCCTCAATCCCCAGCACAGCCCCTACCCTCCCAAGCTCTTGGGTGGTGGCTCTGTCTTTCACGGTCCAGGAAAGCCCCTCAGAGAAGCATTCTGAGGTCTCATCCTCCCCTCCAAGCAGGCTGGGATGCTTTGGGGCATGCAGTATGCTTCTCTTCCCTTTCCTCAGGCTGATAAACATGGCCATTCATCTTCTGCAAGATGAGGAGCGGGAGGTCCGGCATGAGGCCTCAGGTTTCGCCAGCCTCCTGCGGCAGAGCCCAGGGGAGCTGCTCCAAGATGGCTGCATCTTTGTGCAGGACAACGTGGGGCTCCAGAGCCTCTTAGAGCTCCTTCTGGGAGAGTTCAGGGAGCACCCTGAGACCTTTGACTCACTACTTCAACATATCCCCATCTTAGATCTCAGGAGTGTTGTGGAGGAGCTGCAGGCCAACAAGTGAGTTGCTGGACCTGTGGACTGCCATGAGGGAGTGTGGGGTACCACAGGGCCAGCCCTTGGCTTCACTCACACCTCTGCTTTCCCCCCAGAGCTGCCAACCTGTACAAGGAGGATGAACCCAATGTTTTTGCAGAGCCAGCTGTCCTGGCACGGCAGCTGCTCCCTGTCCTGGTGCAGCTCCTGGAGAAGGCTCCCACTGGCAGCCCAGTCCATGCCTCGGCTCTGCAGTGGCTGGAAGCCACAGGTCCCGGTGTGCTGAGGGACCTGCAGTACTGCAAACACTGCTGGAGCCAAGGTATGGTGAGTGTGGAGTGCCTGGGACAAGCAAACAGTGTCCTTGTTCCCCAGGCCAGCTATGCCAGGGAGACCCTGCCACACTCATGGCTCCTTCCCTGCTCTCTCCACAGGGACTGCTGTCCGCTGGGGGATGAAGGCGCTGGGCTGTGCCAAACTCCACACAGCCCTGGCCGTGCTGCTGGTGAGGGCCCGGCTGGTGGCACGGGTGCTGCAGGTGCTGGGGGAAGGTGCCACCACCATGCCAGGCCTGGACTGTGGCTCTCAGGAGTTGGAGCAGGAGCTGGAGCTGGTACAGGGGCTGCTGGTGCAGCACGGGCTGGCCCCTGTGCCAAAGGAGGACAATGCACCAGGAGAGCTGGGACCACTGTTGGGGACTGGCAGCTCCAGGCATGCAGCAGTATGACACGAAATCCTGCAGCCATCTCCCTCCATTTCCTGGATGTTCGCTCTGACCAGCAGCCAGGCCTGCAGGTTTGGTGGTGTAACTCAGGGGAACCCGCTCACAGTGTGGGACATACTCACTTCTGTTCCCAGTTTCTAACTCTGCAGCTGAGGACTCCAGTGCAGTAATGCCTTGGCCTATGTCCTTGGTTTCCTTGCCCTCAGCTCGGGCTGGCAGGAGAGGACCTGTGCTCCAGAACTCTCACACACCCTCATGCTCACCTGCCACCACCTGTTTTTTTAACCAGCACTTTGGTCCTTGGCTGACCTGGGCTTTTATCCCAAATAAAGAGGCCAAGAACATTCCTAGTGTTCAAGACTTTTAATTCCCCTGCCCAGGAGGGTGGTGTGAGAGCGGGCTGCAGGAGCCAAACATGTCCTGGGGCAGCAAACAGACAACAGCCCCTGCCTGCAGTGGAGCAAGATCCAGCCCTGGCACGGCATGTGCTGTGGTAGCACCACCCACAGCTAGAGCAGGGACCCCACCAGCAAGCTCATGCAATGCTGGGCAAGGACTGGGGAAGGGCAGCAGCAGCACCCAGCCCAGCCTCACTTCTTCCAGTGGGAGCTGCTGAGCCCCACGGCTGGAACTGGGCACTGGCACCATTGGCTGTGCGCAGACTTTGGGTGTCTTTAATTCCTCTCTGCAAAGCAGGGCTGAACTGCCCTGCACAGCTCACCTGCTACTGCAGTGAGTGGGCTCAGAGAGGAGGGATGCTGCCTCCATCCTCACGTTTCTTGCCAGTTGCAGCTCTTTGAAAGTATGATGTCATGGCTGAGCATAACATCATCACATCATGTCACCCAGCCTTAACCTCATCATGCTGTTCTTCTGCCATTAATCACCACACTTCAGCAATTCCTTATTTTTAGTTTTTATAAGAAGGGTTTTTCCATTCTTCAGCAAAATATTTAATGGAAAACAGGGAGCAGGCACCAAGGGTAAACAGCAAACCTGCAGGAAGGTGAAATTATGAAAGAGAGCACATTTTAATTTAATTCCTTACCTCCCCAGCAAGGAGTGGTGCCATGGGGAGGCTCAGCTCACCTTCCCAGGGGGATCCTACACGAAGATGAGAGCTGGTGGGGAGCAGACACAGCCCTCTTCCAGGCCTTCCTGCACCCATGAGCCCTGGCACCCCACCACAGAAGCTGCCACCCAAAATGTCCTAGAAAGGAAAATCAGTGAGAACTAGGATGCACCATTAATAAATACAATTTTAAAAAATCAAATATAATTTTATATATGCATTTATATTATATATATAATAATGGCAGACTAGATGAACATTGTCCCTTCCAACAGAGATATTCTATCCTATTTAAATATGTTTATATTATAATCTCTGCTTATAGGACATATTATTGATTCATTTAATAATATTATGGCATACTATAACATTGTGGCATATTTTAACACAATTACAGCTTTGTATACAAATATAATTAGACTATAAAAGGCGAATGTCAGAGACAGGGAGAGATGTTCCTTAGGAGAGATCCCACGGTGGGAATGGCACAGATCAGCACCCACCTGGCTCCTTGCAGGCCGTGTCCAGTGCAGTGGGGACGGCGGTGGGACGGATTCCCCCAGCACTGCACGCACACCTGCTTGTCCCGCTGCAGCCGGCGGCTCCAGGCGCGCCCGCGGCACGGGGGTCCCACCTGCGCCAGGCGGAAATAGCCGCAGGAGCTGGGGAGGGGGGAACATGGGAGGAGAAAAGAGGGAAAATGGTGGTCGGAAGGTCGGGCAGAGGTTGTGGTGGTTTGTTGGTGGATTGGGGTATAAAGGGGATATGGGTTTGGGGAGTGGCAGAGGGGCCTGGGTGGGGGAAGTGAGAAGGGCAATGGCTCCGTGGGGTGCAGAGGGATCCTAGTTTGGAGGGCGGGAAGGATGGTGGTTCTGTGGGACATGCAGAGGGCCATGGTTTTGTGTGGGGGTGCAACGGGGCCATGGTTTGGGGCAGGGAGAAAAGTAATGGTGGGGGAAGCAGAAAGGCCCTGGGTCTGGGGGTGCAAAGAGGCCATGACCGCAGGGGGGGCAGGAGGGGTCCCGGCTTTGGGGACGGGGGTTACAGAGGGGCCCCGGCTCCACACATACCCAGAGGGCTCCTCCGGCAGTGGCAGCCCCGCTCTTCGCCAGGGATCTCTGAAGTCCTGGCTGAAGGAGCTGGGGAGTATCTTGGCTACCTCTGGCAGAAGAGCAGCTGTGAGGGGCAGGGGATGATTAAAGACACCCCGGGACGGCAGCACACGGGGACGAGCACGCAGGAGGGCAGCAGGCAGCCCGGTTACCTTTGGCCGTGCCGCAGGTCGGGTGCTGCCCCAGGCAGCCGCGGCGCTGCTTGAGGTCGGGACAGGGATCCCCGCCGTGCCGGGGCGGCACGGTGACCTGGCGGCTGCGGGCCCTGCTGCCAACCCCGCACGGGGAGCTGCACCCGCTCCACGGCCCCCAGGGCCCCACAGCACAGCCCACCGCTGCCAGGGATGGAGGAGAGGGGAAAGAAAGTGTTTCAGTGTCATGAACAATGGAAAGAGCAGAGCAGGGGAGATGCAGCACAGGGGATGGGGAGAGGGGAAGAAGGCCAGAGTGACCCCAACAGCCCCTCTCCCCTGACCCCTGCCAGTGCAGGGGCTTTGTCAGCCTTCCGCAGGACGTTATCCCTGTGTGCATCGCGCTGAGCTGGACCCTGCTAATCCCCCCGGAGATTAGGAAGGGCTGACTGCTGCAATTGTCCAGGGGGCCACGGCCAGCGCCTGCCTACCCTGATTTGGGTCCCCAGGGCAGGCTGGTTCTGCACTCCCCGAGCCCATGAGCCCCATTTGGCACCCTCAGTACAGCCCCTGGTCCCCCTGTACCTGTGCAAGGCACTGCCTGTGACAGTAGCAGAGGTGACACCGGGGCTTGTCCCGCTGGGTCCCACACTGACCTCTCAGGCTTGCAGTGACAGCGCTACCATCAGCTGCAGACCAGAGACCACCCCTTCGAGCTCTCTCACTGCACTGGGGCCAGCCTGAGACATTCAGCGTGGAAAAAAGGGGACAGCTGGGACACTGCTACAAATCCAGCCCAGCCAGCATCCCCAGACACACCTGTTATCACTCAGAGTACGGGCTAACAGGTAACAGCAAACACTCGCACCGAGCACAGCAGCACAGGCCGGTGTCCCCAGCCGCGGTCCGGCCAGCGCCATCCCCTCCGGCACTCACCGGCACGGCGGCACGTGGCCCGGTAGTCCTGGCAGCAGTCTCCCGTCCGCTGGCAGTACGAGTCGCAGTAGCAGCGGGCCCGGCGGGCGCCGGGGGCCCAGCAGGCGTTGTTCCTGCCGGGGCAGCAGCGGTGCCGGCAGCTGCCCGCGGCTCCTACCAGGCAGCCCGTGGCCAGCAGCCAGCCCGCCCAGAGCAGCGGGCCCCGCATGGCCCCGGGAGCCTGCGAGCCCCGCGGGATGACGGCTGTGCCCCGCTCCAGCGACACTGATGAGCAGCGAGGGCTGTGCGGGTGGGAGCTCCGGCCGTGCCGCACCGCCCCCGGGCTGGGCGGGGGGACAAAGCCCGTTCCCTTCTGCTCCACCGCCCCTCGGCTCCACGGCAGGGCGAGGACTTCATACAATTAACCAGGATTATTAATAAAGCACCGTGCACGAGACAACACAACCCTGCCTGGGAGCATCTGATTGGGCACTGCTGGGTTGGAGCTGATGCTCCCCCAGGAGCACCATCTCGGCATGATGGGGAGCCCCGTCCCCCCCCCACAGGGCAGGAGCCACTCACTGCCCATTCAGCACAGCTGGACGCCAACGCAGCCGCTAAAGCCAGACTGATTTTATTCAGATTGCGAATGTAAAACAGAATAACAATAAAAAAAAAACTAATGCAACCCTCACTGGCTTCAGAGCCAAAAGCCGCAGGTAAACCGTGCCCAGGCTTTCCTCCTTCACCCTCCAGTGTTAAGGCTGAGCTCATCGCTGGCTACAAGAGGGAGGAGGGATGGGTTGAGCCCTGGCTCTTGCACCCCCAGCTCCCTCAGGGAGAAATTTGGCACAAATATAGTGGGGCCAGCCTGGCACGGGCAGGGCAGGGCTCCAGCCCCACGGCCATGGGTGTTAGTGAGTCAGCATGAAGCTCTAAAGCTCCAAAAGCTACGGGATCACCTACGGCACCACAGGAACGCGGCGGGAGGGCAGATGCGGGGAATGTGGCAGAAGAAAGGGGTTTGCACCCCTGGCCGAGGGGCCAAGCCTGCGGCCTGGGGCTGCACCTCCACGGCCCGGCTCGCACGCACGACTCGGCTGTAAACGGCAGGTGAGGGGCACCCGGCTCACCCCAACCCCAGCCCACAGTGAGCAGAACTAAAGGCCTGGCTGTATGTGCAATTTTGGGCAACTGCTGCTCAGCAGCCCGGGGCTGAGCAGGATCCCCGGGATGGGATGGGATGTTGCACGCCGGTGGTCTTGGAGCTGGCAGGGAGGGAGGAGGGAGCTTGGGGTCATACCAGGGGGTCACTGCTCTCCCATCCCAGGGGGTGCAGGGCTGCTGGGCCCCCTCCAAGAGCTGCTGTGACCCTGCCATGGTATCAGCCCCACTGTCAGCTTGTGATGCACAGTTTGGCATTGCACCCACATGGCTCAAGGGGGCTTTCAGCACCCCCAAAAGAGCTGCTCCTGAGGCTGTCAGGAGCTCCTGGCTGCTGGGAGCCCCAAGGCCACTGTCCAAGGGACATCTCAGCCTGGTTAACCAGGTTAACACATAGCTGATGTGGGGCTGGGGGAAAGTGTCACCAGGAGATTGGGGTGGGCATGACCGGGATGCTGGGGGTTGGGATGGTGGGATGCAGCTCCCTCCCTGCTCCTTTCAGCACACAACTAGTAATTTAACCTGCTCCAGAGACTGTTCCTAAAGATAAAGGTGGCCAGGTTTGGGGTGTGCAGGGCAGACCTGGCCCCAGCAGTGCCGCAGGTGGGTGTGGGTTTGGTCTCTGCTCTCCAGCTGAAGCCCTGCGGGGCACAGGAGGCGGGGGCTGCCTGGCCCGGCCCCTCAGTCCGTTTTCCACACCTTGTTGAGGAATTTGACCACCTCATCGTAGATGATGAAGACGATGGCCACGTCAAGACACACACGGCCCAAGCGAGGCACTGTACCCTTGTAAAACCTGCCAGGAATAGAGAGGGGGACCGTGGGGTTGGGTCTCCTCACAGCCCCCTCCCTGCCCATCCTCCCCACCAGCCACCCCCACTGCAGAGCTTACGCCAGGGGCCCTTCGTGTTTCATGATCTGGTAGGCACAGTCCCAGGTGTTCTTGTACTTGTGCGCTTCCAGCCCCTGTGGGAAGGGAGAGGCAGGATCAGAGGCCAGAGACATCTGCATCTGGGGGATTTCAGGGGCAAAGCAGAGAGCCCAGGGTGTGCCATGAGGAACTGATCTCTCTCTACTGCTGCAGGACATCAGACTCCACAGGGATGTCCCCACCTCCATGCAAACACTCCCCATGGCTCAGGAGCAATCCCAGACATCTCCCAAACCAAACCTTGCAGGCATTTTGTGCCTGCCCCAGGGACTGCAGCAAACAGCTCCCAGGCAGTGGGTGCCCCCAGCCTGCTGCAGGCAGAGCAGTCCCACACCAGGCCCTGGCACTGTACCTGCATCCTGGTCTTCACCACATCCAAGGGGGTGTTGCCGAAGACACTCGCAGCTCCAGCAAGGGCTCCAAACACCCCTGTTACGAAGGGGTTCATGACCTTGTTGGGATTGTCCCCTGGGAAGGAAGAGAGGGTCAGGGCGGAGTGGTGGTGGGATTCCCACACACATTCCTGAAGGAGCCTGCAAGGAAGGTCCCAGGTCTGGCTGCTTGTAGTCAGGAGGCAGTGCTGAGCTGGGCACTGTCCAGGAGCACCTTCCCCACAGAGCCCGCACCACACTGTGGGGTTCAGGGTGGGTGTGAAAGTGATACTCCAGCACTAGGACCCATCAGCCCCACAAGCTGGTGCCACCCCACCCCAGTATTCATTTTCCTGCATTCCAAGTGACTGAGCCATGAGAAATAGGGGGTGTGTGGAAGGAAAAACCATCCCAGCTCCCAAGAGTGGCCAGGGAGCCAGAGGAACAGCCAGGGTGGCCTGGGGGCCAAGGGCACCATACCTTTGTACCAGTTCCTGAGGGAGGTCATGACAAAGAAGCGGATGGCCTGGTTTGATCCTTGCTTCAGGACGGTTGCAGTTAAGCCCTGGTAGGTCCCCTTCAGTCCTGCAAGAAGAGGATGTTGGAGGGGAGACCAGCCTCAAGTGGCAGAGAAAAATCTCCCCAGGCCACCTGTTCCAGCCTGTGCCCATCCACCACCTCCCACCCTGTCCCCATAGCATGGCAGTACTCAGGGAGTCAGGGTACCACTTTCCTGGGACTCACCCTGTTCCCGAACGATCTCCCGGACGCCATGGAAGAAACCACGGTATTTGGGGTTGGGAGAGGTCTGGTCATGGATAAACTTCACCTACAAGGAGATGATGTGCTTGTCCTGGCTGAGGTAACGCAGATGTGATGGCCCCAAGGGCTGGCGGCCACCTCCTGCCTTGTTCCAGGGACAGTCCCAAGACCAGAGCCAACCCACGCAGCCAGGCAGCTCCGGGAGAGATCACGGGGGAAGCCTGTGCCCATGGCCAGCAGTGCATTTTGCAGAGGAAAACGTGGGAAACTGCTGCTGCAAGCAGCCATGTGGGCCTTACACTCATAAAATGGGTGGGTGACAAGATGGCTCCTGAGTGTGGGGCTCCTCCCTGGAGTGGGGAAGGGGCCAGAGCCACCTTTACCTCCACAGGGTTTTCCAGCATCAGATCCGCCCCTACAAAACTCTCTTGGGCAAATGCATGCAGCCCTCAGGTTCCCAAAAGTTGGGCATCCCTGGGTTTTTCCCCCTCCCAGCCCAGCAAGGGGTGCCAAGGCAGGGGACAGTGGCAGCCACACCCACCCACCTTCACAGTCTCCATGGGGCAGACCACGGCCACAGCCTCAGCCACGCCAGCCCCCAGCCCGCAGATGAGGCCCCGCGTGCTGTCCAGCCGCCCCTGCTCGTCTCTCATCTGGTTGCTGAGGAACTCGAACATCCCAAACCTGCAAAGGAGCCACCGTGCCAATCCCCAGGCACCCGGACAGGGGTCTGCACCCCCTGCTCTGGGTCCAGGAGCAGCTGCACACCCTGTGAGAGGACCCTCCGTGCCTGGGAGACCACATGGCTTTGGTAAAACACCAACAGAGACACCAAGGGCAAAGCCACCCCCTTGTTTGCTGCTGTTGGGGGTCCCCCCCACTCACCCCTTGCCATGGGGGCACATACCTGACAGCAGCCTTGGGGATGGAGCCATACAGCAGCGAGCTGAGCCCCCGGTACAGCCCCCGGATGCCATGGTCACGGACAGTCTGCTTCACACAGTCCCCTGCGGCAGAGCACAGCGGGGCCGCTGTCACCCGCCACGCCGAGGACCACCCACCACCGCCCTGCCAAACCCCCCCAGCGCCAGCCAGGCTCCCCAGCAGCCCCAAACCCAGAGAGGGGCTGCTCACCAATGCCCTTGTAGCGGGGAGGGTTTGCCTTCTCGTCCAGCTGCAGCTGCGTCTTCACATACTCGGTGGGGAATGTGATGCAGATCTCGATCCCTCCAGCCAGGCCACCTGCACAGGAGAGGAAGGGACACTGTAGCAGGAGCAGCATTGTGCCCGTTCACTGCCACATGGCTGGTCCCAGGTCCATGATGGCTGAGCCTGGGATCTCTGGCAGCCAGGTCTGGGCTGGGACATGATATCCCTGTCCTCACCAAAACCCTGAGGACTCCATGCAGCAGCAGGGCCCTGTGCCAACCTGGTTCTTTGAATGGGCATCACTGCCCTGCCATGGCAAGAGCTGTTGAGGAGACTGGGCAAAGGGGTGGGAAAACAGGGCAGAACACTGCACCCATGGCTGCCTATTTGGTGTGTTGCCCCTCAAAGACACCTCTCCCTCTCCAGAGCCTCGCACTTCCAGGTGAGCTGTCAGCACTGGACGTACAAACCCTGTGGTGCTGCCCACACCACTCCCCACACCAGCAGGAGCCCATCTGCAGACCTGGCTGTGCTGGCAGGAAGCACAATTATCATCAAGCCTGTCTGGCTGCCCTGGGCTCCTGCAGCAGCGGCTGCTGGGCACTGATTACACTGGCTGCAGCCTTTCCTGATGGCCTGGGCAGCAAGGGATGCTGGCTCTCAGCTCTGGGGCTCCCCTCAGCATGGCTGGAGCCCTTGCAGCTGGACCTAGCTGTGCTGGGGGAGCTGGGCCAGCCCATCCAGCCACGATGGATCACACAGCATCAAATTGTGGCCAGGTCCCGCCGAGCAGCAGGAGCCCTTTGTGCCAGCAGCACTGGGAAGAGGCACAGGGCTGAGCTCCCTCAGGTCTCACAGGGCCAACCTTGCTCTCACAGGGCTGAGTTCCCTCAGGTCTCACAGGGCCAACCCTGCTCCGCCCAGGACAGGGCACAGGGTGCTGCCACTGGGGTCAACACCACCCTGAGGATCTCCCTGCTCTTTGCCCAGGGAAGGTGAATCATGCTCCAGCCCACCGGCTGGGGCACAGCGTGTGGTCAGAGGGGCTGCCAGCTCCCAGTCTCCTATACAGCCTCCAGTGGTTCCTCCAGCCTGGCCATGGCCTTGGTGTGACTCAGCAGGGCTGTGGCCCCCACTGCCAAGCTTGAGCCCCACAGCCCAGGGAACACCCCAACAGGGAACACACTGCCTCTGTAGGAGAGGCTGGGACTGGGTGCAGTGGTTGTTATCCTGCTCTGCAGTGAAGCAAAGGCTGGTGCCACGTGGCACAGTTCTGCTTATCAGCACCCCCAAAGTACCCCCATGAAGGGATGCTGATAGGGGCCACCACGGCCCATGGCTGCTCCCTGTGACAACAGCAGGCAGCACCTGCTCCTTGGACCAGCAGACTTCCTCACAAAGTCTTATTTCTTCTGCATGGCCCCCACATATACAAGAGATCTCTCTGGTGTTGCCAGCTTCCCCCTGTCAGTGCCACTGGCAACTGGCATCCCCAGGAGCACTGCTGCCTCCTCTCAGCCCAGTCCTTCTAGAGGAAAGGGAAAAGCAGCCTCCCCACATTCCTTCCAGCAGCGGAGCAGAATCCATCTTAAAACAGCCTTATGCTTGTTTTTCCTCCCAGGCACAAAAAGCACCAGGCTGCACCTCTTACCCAGGGAGCCAAGAAGCCAGGCCAGCCTCAAAACAGCTGGGGCAATGCAAAGCTCAGCTTCATGCTCACAGAGCATCCCACTCCTCCCACAGGCACGGCAGGGATGGGGACACCGTGGCACTGAGTACCCAAGGCAGGACACGCCAGCCCAGCTGGGCAGCATCCCGGCCCCGTGGGGACAAGGGCATGAGGCCAGCCCAGCTCTGCCACAGCAAACAAAGGCTCCTTGTTTCCCACTGTGTTCCCAGGGGGGCTGGAGCTGCCCAGCCCAGCCCAGCCCAGGCAGGCGCTTCTCAGGAGGCGGTGCTGGGTGACCGCTGCCAGCCCTGACGCCTCCGCGGCTCCCGCTGCTCTGGGGGCATGGCAGGAAACACAGGGCCAGCTCACGGCACTGCAGCCAGCCAGCAGCTCCCCTGGGGCACCACAGGAGGACAGCCACCATCCCCAGGGTCCCCAGCACACCCCTGCTGCCCCCTCAACCCTCTCCTGCCCTTGGCGTGTCTGTCAGAGTGGCAGACACTGCTGGTCCCGTGGCAGGGGGGTGGCCGAACGCTTATTTCTCCTGCAAAGACAAACAGCTCCTGCAGGAGCAGCTGGCAGGCCCCGGAGAGCAGCTCGACGAGGAGCAATGTTCTCCAGTCGGGTGCAACAGTCCCCAAAAAGCTGAGCACCAGCTGGCACTGCTCCGCACTGCCACACACCACCGTGCCACCAGCCTTGCGCCACCACAGCCACACGCACACCCCGAGTGCTGCCAAGGCCACTTCCCTCCCTCCCACACTGCAGAATTGAAGTGCTGGATGTGTTAAGCACCATAAATATTTGTTCTCTCTCAGTCCCCCAGCACCAGCTCCTCCCCCAGCACACCCAGAAGCCAGACAGGAGGGGAGCACCCAGGACAAGCAGCAGTGCAGGGGCAACCAGCACCTCAGCTCATGGCAGCCACACCAAATGCTACAGGGAGAGATGCTGCACCTCTTGCAACCTGCTCACAGCCTCAGTGGCCACACTTGCATGCAGGGGAGGCAGAGGCTCTGCTCAGCATCCCAAGGGCAAAGCCATCCACCAGAGCCCAGCAAAGGAACAGCATGTTGTTCCTGGGAACTGGCAGTCTCTGGGGCAATGAGGGTGCCCTAGCCAAGGATGAAGGAACAGGGCACCCATGCTGCCAGGTCCCCTCCCTGTTCCCCAGTGTTGTTCTGGCCTAAAATCCCATGGGAAGGTGCACAGAGAGCAGGCACTCTGGACACACTCCATGCCTTGTGGCAATTTTAATCCATTTTCTTTTGCCCACAGAGAGACAGGGTGGCACAGGCCACCTGCCCTGCAGCCCCCTGGAAGCAAGACCAGAGGTCCTGCTCTGCTGTCATCTCCTCTCCCCACACAGTTTTACCCCAGCAGAAGCCTCATTCTATGCAAATAAATCACCCCACTGCTCAAGAGCAGCAGCTTTGTCCAATCCCCTTCCTCTCCAGGGCTGCAGGGACTTTGCAACCTGTTTACCCGGACTTTACACAGCAGCTCCAGCTCTTGCAACACCGCGGAGTCAGCAGGAACAGCAGCACTCAGGAGGTGAAAGAGCAGCGGGGCAGCTGGGATGCCGGGCCAAGGCTCTGGCTGCTCGCTGGATGCAGCGGAGCCAGAGGACAGGGAACGTCCTTCAGGGAAGGTCGCTCTGCCTGGCCCCAGGGAAGGTGCCCCTGGCAGGGGGATCCCACTCCCAGCACCAGGAATGGCTCCCTGCCTGCAGCAAGCCTGCAAGTGCTTCAGCTGCCAGCTATCCTGACATTGCAGGCTCAGGGGGAAGGGAGAGAAGGGAAAAATACCCTGGCATAGTTTTCCTAGAAAAAGTTTCGTTTTCCCCAGCAGAGAGGCCCAAAGAGGCCGTCCTTTGAGGACACGCCTGCAGCCCTTGGGCATGGCTGGGGAGAGCCGGCAGAAGGGAAAAGAGGGTTTTTTGGGGACAGTGGGAGGGCGCTGCCCCTGCAATGCTCACACAACACGTGATGGCATCAGCACACGCAGGTTCAGCTCCACATACTGTCCATGAGCAGCTTCTGGAACACCACTGGCCACCCCGACCCAGGGACCCCAGCTCCAGACCCAGGGCAGCATGGAAGGCGGGAGGATGCAGCTGCGATGGGGAAGACAAGCAGAGCCCCAGGACTGACACAAACCAAGGCTGCACAGCCAGGACTGGCAGTGTCACCCTCTGCAAACTCCTACCCAGAGGCAAGTGCCCCAATGAACACCCACTGCCCTGTCTGGGAGACACAGAGGGGCAGGGGTGGCACTGGCCCCTCTGCCACTCCTGCAAGTGGCTCTGCCTGCAAAAGCATCCTGCTCCTGCAGAGTGATGGAGCAGCAGGTGTCTGTGCAGCTCTGATGAGAAGTGAGCACCTAGGGAGCAATTTCAGTCTCTCCATTTTAAGAATAATTTTGCACGCTGACATACCAGCACCTGATTTCCATATAAAAAGCACCTTTTAACTTCAGATTCGTTAGGATCCTTTCAGGCCAGAGGAAACTATTCCTAAGGGTCTGGAAGCAAAGCAGCAGAGCTCTTGCAGGGCCCATGCCTGGAGCTTCTCCATTCTGTCAGCCGGGTGGCTGAGGATGGTGGGAAGGCACAAACAGGCTCTCAGTGCAGGCTGAGCCCCAGGTTCCCCATTTTGGGTGCTCCCAGCCCACGTGCAGAAGGTGCAGCTGGATAGGGTCAGCTGAGTGGGTGACATGGGTGACACGGACCGCACACTACGGGCACAGGGTGCAATCCAGCCCAGCTCCTGGATGCTGTGCTTACAGTATGCAGCACTCTCACAAGGGGACTTGGTGCCCTTTTAATTAGCCAACACTGCTTTTGGAGCTGGGGAAACAAGGAAGAAAAAACCCCAAGAACCAAAGACCACCAGGCTGCTACGAACCAGCCAGACTGCCGCCTGCTCCCCTCACCGAGGGACCAACCCCCCCTGGAAGCCATCCAGGCTGCTCTTCACCCATCCACTGCCATGGAGCAATCCTGCCCTGCCTGCCTGCAGCGGTGAAACGGGTTTAACAGCTCCACCCTCCCGGCACTTCCCACCTCGGGCCATCTTGTGAAACTGGGGGCTCAGGAGCAGGCAGGAGCCTGGCTGGGGCTGCAGCTCTCCAGGACAGCTGCCTCTCGGCAGAGCTCCAGCACTGCTGTCCTCACCCGGGCACCTCCTCCAGCCACGGACAGTCCTTCACCACCCATCCACCCAGAGCCACATCCTTGTGGAAAACCACCACGGGGGCAGCTCTGCCACCAAAAGTCTGACTCAGTGCTGAGATGGGAAAGGCTGCTTCCCCAAACCAGACTGCCAGAAGTTTACAAGTTCTTTGGTTAAAAGAGAAAAAACATGTCCTGCAACAGGTCAGCAGCCTCAGAGAGTGTCTGTCCCCATGCTGAGGCTCAGGTCTCCCTCCCATCTGACAGGGGCAAGGCCAGTGGGGAGCACAGGGGTTCAGCATGCCCAGCAGTAAGCAGACATTCACAGCTGTTTTGGTCACGGGAGCGTGCTACAGGCAGGCTGGCGACAGTCTGAACCCCCAATGAAACAGGATGGCAAACATGAGAGGTGCCCCTCTGTACCCTGTGCCACTGTGGGTAAACAGCCCCGTGCAAACAGTGCTGCAGATAACGCTACGGATGGGATGAAACCATTTGCCCTGAATCTTACTGGAACTGTCCTGTTTGAACAGGCTGTCCTTTCACAACTCGCTCATTCATCACCTCTTTGCATTTACTTCTCAATATGACCATTAATCATTATAACAATTTAAACTTCTCAGCTGCGAGTATGATGGCAGAAGCCATTTCCCCAAGCTCGCACTCAGAGCAGCCTCTGCCTTCGATGCTGATTCCACCTTTGGGGACTGCCAGGTTCTTTGTCCTGCTCAAGTCACCTTTTCCCCATTGCCCTGCACACCTCAAGGCCCCAGTTTTGTCACCATGAGCTGCCTCCTGGCCATCCCACCACTCAACTTCAGACACCAACTTTCCAAGTGTCAAAAACTCTCTTAGGACATGCAACAGGGAGCTGATGTTGGAGCTCAGGTCTGTTGGAGGACTCCCACAGCACAGCTGGATGAAGGAGCCACTGCCAGGACTGAGACTTCCCTGGGGACAAGCTCTGATCTCCCAGCCCCCAGCACAGGGGAGTGACTGCTGTACCAAGCAATGGAGCACAGAGGGAGAAGAGATGGCCAAAAAAACCAATCTCTGCTGTCAAGAGATGACCTGAGACCTCAGGGCACAAGCAGGAGCAGGGAGGCTGCATTGACATGCACCACACAGCACCATCAGAGCTGAGAGACGCTGCAACATCCCCAAGCTGTCAGCTCATGGTGCTCATCGTCTCGGGAAGACGGACGACTCCTTCCGATCATTTACATCAACCCAGAGAAAACGGTTGCCTGCAGAATGTCAAGCAGAACATCAGGCATGTGAAAATCTTAGAAACTCACACTTCAGAGCCCAGGGTTAACCCCAGCTCATACAGAATCCATGCAGACTGAAGGGACACCCCAATATGGTTTCCTGCCCTGGGGCTGACATCCTTGTCCCACCAGGAGCCTTGGGGCTCTTACAGGTTTCCACTGCAGCCCATGAGGGTTCCCAGGCAGCCAGGGACTCACTCAAGACCCTAGGGACTCACAAGCATGGTCCTTGTGCCCCACTCCCCAAAGAGATGATAGCCACAGGAGGCACCTGCAGGGAGAAGCCACAGCCAGGAGTGATGTACTGAGGGCCAGCAGACCTGGCAGGACTGGCTTCCTCCACACTCTCCAATCTTTCCCCCTGGCTGCACTTGGCCTCCACTCGGCTCAGCATGAAGGGAGAAACATCTCCTACTCTGCTGTGAGCACCAGGCAATTATCTCAAAAGCAGGGAGTGTGCTGGACCACAGCCATTCACAGCAGCACAACCTCCCTCACTCACACCCTCTCCGGAGAGCAACGGCCCTGGAAATCCAGATGGACTTGGGACTTTTGGGAAAGGATACCTGCTCTGCAAAAGGCAAGTCTCAGCTTTCACACCCAGTCCCTGACTCGTTTCCTCTGCAGGTACAGCATTCCCTAAGAAAGATAATATCAAGGATTAACAAAGAAGAGGAAAGTGAAGCTCCCATTACTGCTTTGCTCAGGAGCCTGGGCTCCCTAGTTGAACCCTGCTTCATGCCCTACCCTCTCCCTGCAGTCCCCCTCCCCTGCCCATGCTCCCCCTAGGACCCTGGTGCACATCACTGTTATTTGCCAGTGGTACTCAACACCAGGGTAGCAGCCACAACCCCCGTGAGCTCTTTCCAAATCCAGCACTGTGTAGGATAACATCCAGGCATCCTGCCCCCTGGCCAGGCAGGATTAGGTGTAGGTAGAAACAGCAACTGTGCAACAGCCCCCGGGTGAGCAGATACCATGCAGAGAGCAAGGCAGCTTGTAGCTTCTCAGTGGGAGGGAGCAAACCCCAGGCTTCAAAGCTGGCTAGAAACAGAATAAGGCTGTACTTAACTCTGGCGAGGGCAGGCAGAGCCTTTCATCAAATGAGCACTGATAATCACGAGCAAAGTTCTCAAGAGGAGGGCAAGGGTGGGAGGCTTTGCCTGCAAATGGCAAAAGACCATTTGTGCTGGGCTGGAAATAGCCCACACTGCAGGCTGACTTGAGCTGGCCCAACAGCACCAAAACGAGCTGCCAACCTGGCATCCAAAAACCCAGTGAAGGAGCACTCTCAGGATTCCCAGAGGTGACTGATGACTCTGCCACCAGCATGCCTATCTCACCACTTAACTGCCTTTATTTCAAGTATGGCCCTGCATTGGGAGCACAGTAGACCAGCAGCACCCAGCCCTTCAGGATGCTGGCGGGAGGGACAGGAGTCTGGTGGGCTGTTTGGAAACCAGAGCACAAAACAGGAAGGCTGGCTGTGGGAGGCCAGAGACAGGGCTGGGCTCCTGGCCCACCTGCTAACAGGTTGTTATCCAGCAGAAGAGGCCGAGCTGCCTTCATGTGCTCAGGCCACACGTGGCCACAGCAGCACCAGCAGCGTTGTCACTGCAAGGTGAAGTGCTGCCTTGGCACACAGCAGCTGCTTGGACAAAGGAGGGCCCATTAGCAAATTAATTTTTAACCTTGCGTTTTGTCTGTTGCGACAACTGAAGGAGAAGAGCTCTTGGCAGACAGAGCTTTACTTGCATCTCTTCAGAAAAGAGCCAACCCCAGCCTGTTGAGGTCTGGACAGCCGAGGGAGCTGTGCCTCCCTGGCAGAGGATCCCAATTACACAAAGGGTCTGGGAGCAGATATGCACCCAGGGAGGGATGATGGCTTATTTAACTCCACCAGCACAGGCTGATGAAGTACAGCAGGAATGTTCCATCTTAACACCTCCAGCTCACCAGAACATGGAGCACACATCCCTGTTGTGCAGACAGATGTCAGATGAGAAACTCTTGAGAGCGTCAGCAAACCCCTTAAAGTCAGCAGAGACAGCCACAAACAGCACTGCATCCCTCAGCGAGGGGCTGGAGGGCTGAGCAGACCAGAGCACAGGGAGTTAACAGCAGCTTTCTCCCATTTCTGTGGTTCTTTAATACAATTAGATGCCACAGAGGCTTGGCTGGACTTCTGCCCATTAACCAATTACTCTGATTACAGCCTGTGAGGAGAAGACCAGCATCTCAATTGGGTTCTTCTTCTACCTCTGCAAGTCTGCTGCAACCTCTCTCGCAGGAGGCTGATTCTGGTAAGCTGATGATCCTGATTACAGATCTACACAAGATCTATGAAAGTATCCTGGTACGCTGGTCCAGGCAGTGACAACCTGAGGCTTTCATTGCACATGGACAGCAAGTTGGGAATGACTGGAAAGGGTGGACAAGAAGGAAACATCCTGTCCTTTCCATCCTAAAATTGGACAAAATCCTATTTAAAAGACCTTAAGTCAAGCGGCATGAAAAAACCAACCCATTTTGATATGGGGCAGCAGAGAGGGGCACAGAGCTCTGGAGGAACCCGGTCTCACCGAAGGGCTCACTTGAGTGAAAAGTCACCCTCTCGTTGGAGGCTGCCTCCTCCTTGTGCCCCAGCCCTTTGGCCAGGCAGCCGAGTGATGGCAAAGTCCCTTCCCGGAGACGTGACACTGGGAGGCTTCGGCACCCTCTGCACGCTCCAGCGGTCACATCCACCTCCGACAGTTCTCCCGGTGCTGCGAGGGAGGCCGGGGCGGGGGCAGGGCCGGTGGGCAGATCTCCCCGTGCGGGCACAGCCCCGCTGCTCCCCGGTCCCGCTACTGGAGGCTGGAGCTCTGCCCTTGGAGGGGACCAGGGAGTTGGACGGACAAACAAAGGCACAATCGTAGGAGGGGGAATTGGCTGGAAAACACAAAAGCTCTAAACATGCCAATCATGTCGAGGCTGCGATGGCTCATTTCAAAACAAAGACGCTAATCTCCACTCTGGGAATTGTCCTGCGACTGGCAGGAGAAACCAGGGAGCTAATGAACAGCTACAAAGGAGTTTAACAAGCCTGCGACTGTCTTGGACTCCATTCAGCTCAGAGCTCGAAACAGCCACAAGCAGGAGGCAGAGCGTTAACTCTGCAGCTACTGCTGCACTCGGCGCAGTTACTGTTGTGATCCCATGGAAGTGGTCAGAACTGGACGGGAAAACACGCCCTGATCCAAGAGACTGATGCTCAGGCACAAAGGAGGGACCAAGCAGCCTTTGGAGCAGCTGTATCAGCTCAGCCTGTGAGACACAGCTAGGGCAGGGACAACCGACTGCTGCTGCTTCTTCCCTCAACACCCTCGGGGGAGCATGTGGGGCCCTTGCTGCCACCAGCCTCTCCCATCAGTTCCGCTCCCTCCTGCTGAACACCGCTGAACCCCCGAGTGTCGCTCGCCGCGCGTCATGTCCGAGCCCACCAGCACCTTCCCGGCTGGACCACCGGGTGCAGAAACAGCCTGGCAAGACGCTGCCAGGGCTCTCCGCGGATAGCGGGAGCTCGCAGCCAGCGTCCAGGCTCGGGATGCAGCTGCGGGAGCTCTTTGGCTGTGGCTGAAGGGAAACGCCGGGCAGCGGGGTCGCCTTCCGCGGGCAGCGGGAGAGGCGGCAGTCCCGGGATGGAGCAGCACCTGCGGGAGCGCCACCGCCCCGGGGCGGGCCCGGCAGCCTCCGCCCAGCCGGATGCCCACGCTGGCAGCGGCGGGGCGAGCCCCGTCCCCAGGAGAGCCCCGGGAGCCCCTTACCTGCCAGGATGGCCTTGCCGGGATGCGTGAGCTTGGCCTTGCCGGCGGGGGCGGCGGCGGCCAGGCTGCGGGGCGCGGCGGGGGCGGGCATGGCCGCGCTACTCCGCGGCTCCGGCTGCCCGGCGGCGGCGGCCGAGCCCTATTTCAGAGCCGCGCCCGCGAGGGGCGGCCCCGGCGGCGTCACATCCTCGTGGGGCGGGGCGGGGGCGGCCCGTGGGGACGTGGGGAGCGGCTCTGGGGGGAGCGGGGCAGGGGCTGAACGGCAGCAGAGCAGCGGCGTGACCCCGCCCGGCCCTCGGTGCTGCGGGAATGGGGGCTGCTCAGCCCGCTCCCAGGAATCCACGGGAAAAGCCTCCGCGTGGGTACGGAGAGATGCCGGCCCGGCAGGAGGGTCGTGGGCAGCAGTGCCCCCTCTCCTGAGCAGCATCAGCACCTCCGGGCACGCTTAGGCCAGGACTAGCTCTGAGCCACCCCAAAGCCCTCGGTCAGCGAGGATTCACAAGAGTGTGCTCCTGCGCGGAGACGGCCGTCCGAGGGGAGGGAAGGGGGAGGGTTTGCTCATCTCGGGCCCTTGGCTTGAATCCTTCCTGACCAGGAACTCCCGGGGTGGGAAGAGCATGTGAACGCCCAGCTCCGGCGGAAGAGAAACAAAAACATTCTCAAATTAAAAGGCTGCTGTGAGTGCAATGACACTCCGGGCTTAGCCGAGGTGGGTTGGTATTTTTGGGGTTTTTTTTTTTTTTGGTGGGGGGGTGGGTGTATTATCTATTGCTCCTCAATGTACAGATTGCACTAGGATTTTTTTTTTTTTGCTTTATCTACAGACAGAGGAAGATGCACTCCTTTAGTTTATGTCCAAAAGCTGTATTTACAGGATGCAGGGAAAGAAACCAACACTGTTTTCATTTCCATCCAGGATTTCGCAGAAACCAGGGAACACTGGAGCTGTACTCCAGAACTGTGCTCTCCCTTACATCTGGAGCAGCCACATTACTCAAAAAAAAAAAAATAACGAATATTTTGTGCAAGGAGTCACCTCCAGCTATGCATAAAACATGCTCCTGTCCAGACTTGCTCTCTGTGTGCTTTGTGACATGGTTTTTGCTTAACGAGACTCAGCAATCTGGCAGCTGCCAGCCCCATCCAAGAGCTCACTCTGCAGCTACACAGCCCTGGCCTCGTGGCTGAACCACCAGCAGAAGAACTCTGGGAAACTGAAGCATCTTTATTCTGACAGGGTTAAAAGCAAACATACTTGCATTGCAAAACTCACCCCCAGGTGAGATCAGAACTGTATGTGGTTTCACAACAGAGTTAAAATAGGCATAGAGTGGTCTCATGCCAAGTCTAAGGCCCCCCTCCTTTAAGAGAGGGTGTGAAGGAGGAGGAGGAATTAACATGTGAAGGGAAGGAAAAAACAGTCATAGTCCTGGTCACAAATGCTGCTCATGTTCAGATTAGCATTATTAGAATGGTAAAGATAAGATAAATTCTTTCAAACACAGCAAACAAACAAATGCATTTGGATTTCTGATTAACCTCTGTAACTCCTCATACCTTTCCATCAAATCATCATGGCTTTCACATCTGCCTGCAGACACGTACACCCTGTGCTGTGAGGCCATGATTACCTTCACAACAAACACTGGCTCTTACAGACTCCCCAATCACCAAGGCCTGTGCACAACCTCATCCTGTCCAAGAAAATACCACACCACATGCTTAATTCAAATCAGACTCAATGGGATTCTCAGCAGTGCTTACCTTGCTGAACAGGGAAAGGATTATTCATATTTAATCACATGCAGATTGCAAGCCATCTCCTGCAAGGACCTGACCTCCAAGAAGCTGCTAACACCACTTGTCAGCAGAAAGCCTGAAGGAGAAACAGTGAAACAAGATAAACAATCCCTGAAATACCAGGGGCTGCAAGAGGATGTTTTAAATCCCATTAGTTATGTGAAAATAAATACTTGACCAGGCTCACATAGTCAAGAGCATCTCCAAAGAAATGCATGGTCAAAGCATAGAAGAGCAATATCAAACCCAGCATGTTACTGCTCTCGCTTCAGGAATTTTCATGGAAACAACCCTGTGACAATCTGAACTCATTTCCCTTGCTGGTGGCTGGTGCTTGTTTCTGCTGGCATACAAAGACACAAGAATTGTGAAATATGTAGTCAGGTGCTACTGCAGCCTGTGTGTCTCATGGCACCTCTCCAGGCCCTAATAATGAGAATTGAAAAGAGCTACTGAAAATGAATGCAACTTTCACAATTTATTTTTTCAAACACAAGCAGCAATTGCAGACAGAGTTTTCTGGATCCTCAGAAGCACATGCTTACAGGACAACTCTTAGTTCCAACTTATTCCTCCCTTGCCCCTCCCTGAAATTATTTATTATTACTTTTATTTAATTGGCACTAGATAGCACACCATGGTTTCAGAGACCATGAGTGGTCAGTATGGGGCACATAATTTCCTATTATATATCCTGGGATCAAAGAACCTCTTCATTTCACTGAATTAACAGATGTATTATCACAATTGTTACAACTCATCAACTACTACAAACCTTTCCATGCATTATTAATCCCCATCACTTGTGGTCTTATGATAAAATAAGAAAACTCATTTTCTCTCTGGTTCCCTATCGAGACAAAACAATTCCTTTATGCAAAACAGATCCTGCATATAACTGGCTTCAATAAATGAAAATACTGCAGATTTGAGTCAACATTTCCCCAGCTTTGAAGTGTGTGCTGCAGGAGCTACTGTGATTATAAGCAAGATGATGCTATTCCAAACAAGGAACACGATTCCCACTTGAGCACACATGCAGAAAGAGCTCCTGTTGCTACACAAGATTATTCACTGAGATTACCAGGACTGAGCCTCTCATAAGCACCACAGAAGTCCCTGTTATGTTCACATCTGCGTGGGCCTGACTCATCTCAGAAGAGAGTAAAGCCCATGTACAGCATGTACTGATTATCATTCTGCTGCCCTGCCACGGTCGGTCGTGAATCCCTCACAGCAGGATGTATTACTCAACAAAGCAACTCCAGTTGACAAACTCTATTAGCAGTTGATGAGGCCATTTCCCCACCCCCTAAGTGGAAAAAAAAAAGTACCTTACAAAAGGAGAGCAATTCAAAGATTTATTAAACAGTTTCCCACCCAAACTCACTCCTAGCTCCCCATCTGGGTAACCAGTGCTTGGGGAATTTGTGCTCTGCATAATATTGGAGAACTTACTACTGTGGAAAACAACATACCAGAAGACTTTGTAATTCCTTCCTTTCATAACCACTGGGGGGAAAGGAAAAATGGAGATTTTTAGGCAAACAAATTTTACAATCTTGATTAAAAACAACAGACAAAAAAAAAATCTTGAGTCACTGAACCACGCAGGAAATGCATAACTGAGTAAGCTCAGAACCTGACTCAGGACTTTTAAATTCTGACACATAAAAGACAGGACTTCACTGATTGTATTTCAAATTCATCTTAAGCTTAAAAGCTGTCAATTTTATATTAGCTTGGAAGAAAACAGATGGATGCTGTTGCCTTTTTGAAGGACTGCAAAGGCTCCAGACAAACTGAACCACACACCTATGCTAAGAATTTTGCAGTGTTGTATTAGTAAAACATGAGTCAGGATCTGTCTGTACCTTTGGAAAGGTGCCCACAGAAAATGCACAATATTGAAAAATGAGAAAGCTAGACTAGTGACAAACTCTCTGGAGGTTGGACACCTGCTGAAGTAGATGGTGCACAATAATGGCTCCAGATCCATTAAACTGGACTGGTGCACCTGCAGGTTGCTATAGCAAGGCTCATTCACTTGGCAAACCACAACCTAAGTACACACCACCGTCACAGAGCACTCTGGTATTGTCAAGCATTTTCCAGCTGTATGTCCTTATGTGGAAACAAATGAGATTGAAGCAGCCTTGGGGTACTCTGTAAAGCAAAAAAGGAAATACCGTCAGCTTAGAACCAAGTGCAAAGCCAAACCGTTTACAGCAGAACAGAAGGGACCCAGAAAGACTGCAAGAAGCTTTACAGATGAGAAATAACACTGTTGTAAGGTAATGCATACACTTGATAAACTGCTTGTTATGAGAACCTGGAACATACAGTGGGTACCTGTCCCAAGATTTGCAAGAGTTCTGGCCTCATTTTTTTTCAGCAGATTGAAAAGCTGTCATGCTGATTCAGTCACACTAAGAATTTCTCAGAGGCCAAGTCCTAGCCTGCCAATTAGGATATCACACATCCAAGCATAAGCATTAATTACAAGCACTTGACAGTTAGCTTTGCCAAAGTACTAAAGTTACTCACACTCATTTGAGTAAGCATCTGGGGTTTGTTTATCAGTTTTAGAGTTCAATAAATCAAGGAAATTTCTTGGATTTTGAGTAACTGCTGCTAGATTTGTTAAAGGGGAAAAACAAAAAGTTGTTCCTTGTTTCCCATAGCCCAATTAAGGATCCTGTTGTGCTGGAAGTGCCAGCTCTCAGCGCTGCATCTGCTAAAAGACTATTAAAGCAGAATTAGGTTTTTGACCCTGCAGTTACTACTGTCTTTACTGTATCATGCCTATTATTTGCACAAACTTCAACAGACTTCATCTGCCTAGAATTTTTATTTTTTAAGGAGCTAAGTTACTCCAGATAATTTCCTTCTGCTATCCTACCATTTAAGTATAGAGTCCTAAAAAGGGGGGAAGGGAAATAAGTCTTGTAAAATACCACACCATTACATGAAATAAGAAACAGGACTTACCCCAGCCACGCATTCCTCCTGAACTCCTCTTGTGAATTGCTTGTCTCCTCTGATGCCAGATCTGTATATGCCCAAGGTCTGACAGACCAGGGAAGATTCCCCTAAGGTCTGACAAATACCACGAGCCATTACACAGAAGGAGATCCGTACTCTGTTTTTCTCACAGTGAAAGCATGAGGCAGCAAAAGCCTGTATGTGGTCTCAAGCAAGTTACCCTCTGATGTAAGCCTGGAAGTTGGTCTCCAGATGCTGCAGGCTGCAGCAAGTTCTGCATGAGCACATCATTCTACAGGACAGCCCCAGCCCTCTGTCACTGGGGTGGGAATCAGCAAGAAGCTTAGCTTAAAGCAGATTCTCAGCAAAACAAGCTTATCCAAGTTTTCAAAAACTTGGACATCACAAATTCATGAAATGAAGTAAATCCTTCACCTAACCCCTAAAAGAGGAGTTATTTCCTGCTGTGAATGACTTCACTTTCAGAGAAGCAGTGAAGTACCTTGGTATACAAGGCTTTGTTCCACATTTTAGATACAGCTGCACTGTATTGGCAGGGAGTCTGTTTTGAATGCTAGATCACAAAATTTATAAAAGCCATTTTACTTAGCAAGAGCTTAAATACCAAGAGAGTAACTAAAGCAAGACTGTTGATCAGAGCTGGCAGCTTTGCTTTCCTTGAGAGCTCAGTCACTCCTGTAATTAGATTTCCAGACTGAGGCTATTAAGGATCCCCAGGCTACCTCAATTCTCTTACAGTCAGGAGCTGTTCCAGTATTTGATCTAGCACTTCACTGTGTTCCACCATTGGCTTGCACTTGCTGCTATAAAGTAAGAACCCATTTTTAAGT